GAAAGTTGAGGAGTGAATGTCTCTATAATGTCATTACGGCAATCAGAGAAGAGAAAGAAATAAAAGGAATACAAATTGGAAAAGAAGAAGTAAAAGTGTCACTGTTTGCAGATGACATGATACTATACATAGAGAATCCTAAAGATGCTACCAGAACACTACTAGAACTAATCAATGAATTTGGTAAAGTTGCAGGATACAAAATTAATGCACAGAAATCTCTTGCATTCCTATACACTAATGATGAAAAATCTGAAAGAGAATTTAAGGAAATACTCCCATTTACCATTGCAACAAAAAGAATACAATACCTAGGAATAAACCTACCTAGGGAGACAAAAGACCTGTATGCAGAAAACTATAAGACACTGATGAAAGAAATTAAAGATGGTACCAACAGATGGAGAGATATACCATGTTCTTGGATTGGAAGAATCAATATTGTGAAAATGACTATACTACCCAAAGCAATCTACAGATTCAATGCAATCCCTATCAAATTACCAATGGCATTTTGTACGGAACTAGAACAAAAAATCTTAAAATTTGTATGGAGACACAAAAGACCCCAAATAGCCAAAGCGGTCTTGAGGGAAAAAAAAAGGAGCTGGAGGAATCAGGCTCCCTGACTTCAGACTATACTACAAAGCTACAGTAATCAAGACAATATGGTACTTGCACAAAAACATAAACATAGATCAATGGATAGATAGAAAGATAGAAAACCCAGAGATAAACCCACACACCTATAGTCAACTAATCTATGACAAAGGAGGCAAAGATATACAATGGAGAAAAGACAGCCTCTTCAATAAGTAGTGCTGGGAAAACTGGACAGCTACATGTTAGAGAATGAAATTAGAACACTCCCTAACACCATACACAAAAATAAACTCAAAATGGATTCGAGACCTAAATGTAAGGCCGGACACTATAAAATTCTTAGAGGAAAATATAGGAAGAACACTCTTTGACATAAATCACAGCAAGATCTTTTTTGATCCACCTCCTCCAGTAATGGAAATAAAAACAAAAATAAACAAATGGGAACTAATGAAACTTCAAAGCTTTTGCACAGCAAAGGAAACCATAACCAAGACAAAAAGACAACCCTCAGAATGGGAGAAAATATTTGCAAACGAATCAATGGACAAAGGATTAATCTCTAAAATATATAAACAGCTCATGCAGCTCAATATTAAAGAAACAAACAACCCAATCCAAAAATGGGCAGAAGACCTAAATAGACATTTCTCCAAAGACATACAGATGGCCAAGAAGTACATGAAAAGCTGCTCAACATCACTAATTATTAGAGAAATGCAAATCAAAACTACAATGAGGTATCACCTCACACCAGTTAGAATGGGCATCCTCAGAAAATCTACAAACAACAAATGCTGGAGAGGGTGTGGAGAAAAGGGAACCCTCTTGCACTGTTGGTGGGAATGTAAATTGATACAGACAGCCACTATGGAGAACAGTATGGAGGTTCCTTAAAAAACTAAAAATTGAATTACCATATGATCCAGCAATCCCACTATTGGGCATATACCCAGAGAAAACCATAATTCAAAAAGACACATGCACCCCAATATTCATTGCAGCAATATTTACAATAGCCAGGTCATGGAAGCAATCTAAATGCCCATCGACAGACGAGTGGATAAAGACGATGTGGTACATATATACAATGGAATATTACTCAGCCATAAAAAGGAACAAAACTGGGTCATTTGTAGAGACGTGGATGGATCTAGAGACTGTCATACAGAGTGAAGTAAGTCAGAAAGAGAAAAACAAATATCGTATATTAACATATATATGTGGAACCTAGAAAAATGGTACAGATGAACTGGTTTGCAGGGCAGAAATTGAGACACAGATGTAGAGAACAAATGTATGGCCACCAAGGGGGGAAAGCAGTGGGGGGTGGTGGTGTGATGAACTGGGCAATTGGGATTGACATGTATACACTGATGTGTATAAAACTGATGACTAATAAGGACCTGCTGTATACAAAAATAAATAATATAAAATTCAAAAATTAAAAAAATAAATAAAGTGATTGCCCTCTTCCTTCACTGTGTTTATAAGTAGCTTATAAAATTTACAGGGAGGGAATTCCCTGGCAGTCCAGTGGTTAGGGCTCAAAGTTTTCACTGCCAAGGGCGTGGGTTCAATCCCTGGTTAGGGAACTAAGATCCCGCAAGCTGCGCCACGCAGGGAAAAAAAAAAAGAAAAAATTTACAAGGAGTTTAATATACAGGAGAAGCATTCAGATATAGAGCACATTTGATATTTACTTTCACATAATCTCACAAAGTGTCCAATTTTGTGTTGTGTGATTGTATGGTATTGCTTTCATCTCATTCAGACTCAGATTCAGGCTACCGAAAACTCCCCTCAAAAGTCCAGATAAGCCACTGTCAAACCTACTCATACTGTTTTTTTTTTTTAAACTTCTTTAATGATGCACTATCCATCCAATGGTCAGCCTACCATCCAACAAACACCAGCCTCCCAAATATTTCCTGAATCTGCCTCCACTAGTTCAGACCTCCATCAGTTGCAGCCTGGAACCTTGAAATAGCTTCAGAGCTGGTCACCCTACCTTTATTTTGGTCTCCACTCAAACCCATCTTTCACATTGCCATCAGAATTTTATCTGAATTGCAGATATGCTTGAGCCAGTCGCTCAAGACCCTGCTTAAAATTTTAGTTCACAGCCTTTTACTTGGCCTGCCAAATCTTTCAAAACTAGACCCCTGCTTACTTCTTCACCCTCATCCTCAGCCACTCATGTTTTGACATCCTTCAATCCAACAAATGTAAACTTTCTGTTCTGGTCCCTCAGTCTGAAATGTATCAACACTCAGTTCTCCCCAACACCTCCCTTTCTTTGTGCTTTTGTAGTATCCTGTAGGTAGCTCCATCAGAACATCTGCCACTTTGTTTGGAATAGTCAGTTTATATACTCTTCTCCTTAAGTAGTCTATCAGTTCCTAAAGAGCAAGAATATGTATCTCAGGACTTCCCTGGTGGTCCAGTGGTTAAGAATCCACCTTCCAATGCAGGGGACGTGGGTTCGATATCTGGTCAGGGAACTAAGGTCCCACATGCCACGGGGCAACTAACCCGGAGCACCACAACTACTGAGGCCGCATACTCTGGAGCCTGCGAGCCACAACTAGAGAGAAGCCTGCATGACGCAACGAAGATCCCGCATGCCTGCAACTAAGACTAACAACTAAGACGCAGCCAAATAAAAAAAAAAAAAAAAAAGGAATCTGTATCTCAGATCTGAATTCCCAGTGTTTACCATGCATCTGGTATACAGCTACATGCTTGCTCTACTAGGAGCTTGTTCCTGTTAATTGCTTTCCACCCAAACATTAAAAAAATAAAAACAAACAAACAAAAGCCTGCCCTTTATCAAGCTTACTGTGAACTATTTATTACAACCAATCTTTTACATTTGCTCCCTTTATTTTTTCTTTTCTTTTTTTTGGCTGCGTTGGGTCTTCGTTGCTGCACGCGCACTTTCTCTAGTTGCGGCGATCAGGCGCTACTCTTCATTGCGATGCGCAGGCTTCTCACTGTGGTGGTTTCTCTTGTTGTGGAGCTCTAGGAGCACAGGCTTCAGTACTTGTGGCACACAGGCTCAGTAGTTGTGGCTCGTGGGCTCTAGAGCGCAGGCTCAGTAGTGTGGCGCATGGGCTTAGTTGCTCCGTGGCATGTGGGATCTTCCTGGACCAGGGCTCAAACCCATGTCCCCTGCATTGGCAGGCGGATTCTTAACCACTGCGCCACCAGGGAAGCCCAGAAGCCTCCCTTTTTTAAAAGAAACTTTAGGTTCTTGCGTCCAGCTATTTGGTAGAATCCTAGCTGATGTACTCACCTCTGACTTCCTGCCAAATCACATGGCTTTTCACAGTTCCTTATTCTCCTTGCAGCTTTTGACTGCTGTCCATTTTCTCCTTAAACTACCTTCTATGACTTCACACCACTGCCAAGATTGCCCTTGAGGATCTGTTTCAGATTCCTCATTGCCTTGAGTCATTTAACCTACCCACCATTACCATAAATACATTCCCTTGTACAATTTTGGGTTGTCTTGCTATTTGTGTTAGCAATTAACTCAACAAAAAATCTTACCCCATGAAATACCGCTGTAGAAGCAAGAATTTCTTTAAAAAAATAAATTCTTCAAATTTAATAACATTGTAGGTTAATTAAGATGCAAGTTTCTCCACTAATCCCCTAGGTCTGGCATAGACTGAGTAAACCAGCCTTTTCTCTCATCACTTCAGACTCCATTACTAATATACCTTTCTTTTTTATTTGTTTGCTCATACCAAAAGGGTTTTTTTCTTCTTATTGTCGTTTATTAATTTTCAAGCATTGCTGTCCTCTCCCTGATTCCCTACTTCCCTCTATATTTCCAAGAGTCCCTAGAGAAAGTGGGTGGAGGAGGGAGCCAATATGTGGGGCTGTGGCCTTGTAGCTCAGTTAGCCTCAAATTTATTTTTAAATTTACTCAAGATTATCTGAGGACATATATATGTATATATTAGTGCCAAAATATGTGCGTGCGCGGGTTCACACCTTTTCAAGGGCCATTAGGTTCTCGTGAAAACATGGGGTGAGGATGGGAGGGTCAAACACATTTCTTACGACGATACTTGGAGCGTAGCCAGCCTCAGGAGCGCAGATGGTATTACAGAAAGTTGTGCGTAGCGGTGGAAAGCCCGGGAGTCTCCTCCGTGACCTTGGCCAAGTCACAGAAACTTTGGGTTTATTCCCTGTAAAATGGGGATAACCGTACTGGCTTATCGAAAGAGTAAACGAAATAATGTAAGTAAAAGTACTCTGAGAAAAATAATGCTGGTTTCTTTGAACGGGGATCCCAAGCAGCTGGATTCCCATCCGTCGGTATTTCGCTCTTCCCCGCAGTCCAAGAGCTACCTCTCTGGAAGCCTGAGGCGCGGGCCTCGGCTCGTCTCCATGGCAACGTCTCCGGCATCCCGAGCCCCGCCCCCCAACCCGCCGCGAGGACCGGAAGCAGCGTCCTGTTGGGCGCTTCCCCGGCTTCTCCCCCAAAACGCGGGGTCGTCCTTCCGAGGCCGGAGGTGAGAGTTGAGGTCTCTTCGCTCTGCTAGGCCTCTGGGAGAAGCGACCGGCACCCGGGGGATTGGGAAGGGATGGCCGCCGGCCTGGGGCCACCTCACGGGAGCCCCACCACCACTCCTAGCACGCGCCCGCGCACCCCCTCTTCATACCCCTCCCCGCCCCCACCCCGGCTACCTCTTCCTCACGCCCCCGGCGCTTCCTCGCGGCCTCCACCTCGTCCCCGCACCTCCTGGCCTCTTACAACGCGTGCGTGCACCCCCTCTCCTTGTCCGGGTACCCTGTGGCGCCTGACCCCCGCCCCCGAAGCCGACCTCCTCCCATCACCCTCCGCGCGCTTACCTGACCTCCCGCGCACCCTTCCCCCGCGCCCATTCTCCTCGTGTGGTCTCGCGGAGTCGGGTCCCCGTCCGGGAGCGGCGCCGTGTGGTGGAGGAAGGTGTCCCGGGACCGTCGGGAGCAGGCTCAGCAGAGGAGGTATTTCCAAGGGAGAGTCGGTCCCCTCGGGAAAGACCCCCGGATCTGGGACTTTGGGCGAAACCTCCCCTCCAGGGACCGGGTTCGATACGGACCCTCGCGCGGTGTTGGGGGTTTGGTCTCTTGGGTGGAACTGAGAGCAATTGTGGACCCGGCACAGACTCCGCTCCTGGTGCGGGAGACGCAAAGTGCGTCCCGGTGGCCACTCCTGCGACTTCCAGAGGATGCTTTAGCTTAGGGGCCCTCTGTGTAACTCCCTTAGACGGCTCCAGACACGTGGCCTCAAACCCCACCTGTCGCTCCGGTCTCGATCCCACATTCGGTTCCGGCTCAGGATCATATGGGTCTGCTGCCTTTCTTTGCTCTGGGACCCCGGCCACCGGCTCTGGACCGCGCAGCACCGTAGAAGGTGTGGATGGCCTGAACTCAGACCCCAGCCCTGCTCCTTTGCCTTTGGTCTCGTTACCTGAGCTTGCCCTGGCGGGTTCCTCAACGTGGGGATGAAAAGAACCTTACAGGGCTTTTGTGGGGATTTAAATGAGTTTATATTTATTAAGATCCCTAAACGAGTGCTTAGCACATAGTAAATTCTCTGCGTTTCAGTTGTGGAGCACTGTATAAAGTTGTGTCATTTATTTGGTAACCTTGTCTTTCCCGGGCTAGAATATAAGCTTTATGCAGCCGCAGGCTTTGTTCGGGTCACCGCCATATCTTCAGTGCCTAGAAGAGTTCTCGGTGAAGTGGGGAAAAAAATGGTAGAGAGGAAAAATAGGGGCACATATAACAGTTTAAATTAGCTGTCAGTTACTAGTGATACATATACTAAAATGCTACTAAGGAAAACGTCTTCCCACCCCCTTCCTGCTAACAAGCTAGCGATACTTGGAGAAATTGTTGCCCCCATACATCACTATGTTGCTGGTGACACTGTGATTTGATACAGCGTTTTCTATAATCTATTTGATAATACATAGCAAGATATTTGTCCCTTTTCCTTTGACCCCAGTAAGTCAAGTCCTTGGGACATCTTTGAAGGAAATAATTTGAAAGGAGAAAAATAGTATATTTTCTGAAAATGTGCTTCCTAGCATTGTTTATAATAGTAAAAATTAGAAACAGCCTAAATATTCTACAGTAAAGAGATAATTAAGTAAATAATATGGATGTCACAGATGAGCAGTAGACATGGACATGAAAAAATGGAAATACATTAAGATGGAGGAATATGCTTTTTTCTTTTGAATGGTCCCTTTAATGCCAAAGTAATATTGTTTTAAAAATTAGTAAGCATCGAAAAAAAAATCTATGCAAAAGTACTTCTCTCGTGAGACTGTTCCTTAGAGCTCCTTGAAGCAGTCTAGAAAAAATTAACTGGCTCTTCGAGGCTGACCCAGAGTCATAACTTTCCTCAGCCTTCCCTTATTTCTGTTCTCCAGGAGCTCCTCTGCAACACTGGCTGAACTCTTATTGTGATATTTAGTCAGCCTCACGTGCATGATTTTCAGAATAAATTGCAAATTACTCATGTATATAAATTAATGCCTCTGAGCTCTTTGATTCTCTTAGAGAAGGAAGTGTTCTTTGAAAGCATGGTTTATGTTAAGATTAAGGGCAGCACTTTCTGTACAGTCTTTATGTTTCTAATCTTAGTTGTATCCTTCTAAGAAGCATTTGTCTCTGTCTTGTTTCCACTTGTCTCTTTAATCATATTTAGGAGTGTCCATAAGGAGAGTTTCACCTTCTTGAAGATTAAAGCCCAGCAGTTCTGAGCTATTCCTAGTCCAAATGTCTGCAAAATTGAGAGAGACATCAAAACTCCTTCCACAAACTTCAGGGGACCCTGACTGCATTCTGGTAATGAAGGTGGAAGAGGGAGGGCAGGCCTCTAATATGGTCTCCAGCCGCCACTGGAGCAGCTACTACAGCTCAGAGACCTACCGCCAGCGGTTCAGGCAGTTTGACTACCAAGAGTCATCTGGGCCCCGGGAGGCTCTGAGCCGGCTCCGCGAGCTGTGCTGTCAGTGGCTGAGGCCAGAGGTGCATAGCAAGGAGCAGATCCTGGAGCTGCTGGTGCTGGAGCAGTTCCTGGCCATGTTGCCTGAGGAGCTGCAGGCCTGGTTTGAAGAGAACCGACCAGAGAGTGGAGAGGAAGCCGTGGTGATGCTGGAGGAGCTGGAGAAAGAGCATGACAGGGCGGCTGAACAGGTGAGAAGGGGCTGTGGGCATGAGGGACAAGGCTGAGTCAGGAGCTCTGGCACATCACTGGGGTTAGAGCTCCCAAATTGTACTCCCACTCAGCACAACTAAATGTAGAGTGTGGTGAGTGGACTCCCAGCTGTGCCAGAAAACAGAATGCGCCTCTGCCTTTTTCCTCCCTTTTCCTGTGTCCCAGGATAGTTTCTTCTCTGTTATTTTATCTTCAAGTTCCAACCTGATTCCCTTCTTCAAGCCTCAGTTAGTACCAAACTGTTTCTAGGTCTCTCTTGGACGAAATGAGGACATGCTTGCAAAGAAGCTATCAACTTGTGAAATCACTCAGGAGACACCACGTAGCCAGCTTAAGCCCACAAAAAAGCAACTGCAGTGGGCATCGAAGGAGCATCACACCTTAAGACAAAATGGTGAGGGGCAGGGTTCAGGTCATGGTTGGGGGGGTGGGAAGGTGGCCTCTCAGCCCACCCATCACACACATCTAGGCTGCTTTCTGTAAGAGGTCTCCAATCTCCCCTCCTGCCTCCTGTTCCTGTGGGAACTTCCACCATTATATATCCTGCCAGTGCACTTTCTCAGTATTTTGTCCTCATTTCCTTCTCAGAGATTCTTATAATATCGTTCAGATTTTTGAATCCTTGACATCATCTCCATCCGGATTTTCAAACCTTTTTTTAAGCAGCATGGCCCTCTTCTCAATGAAATTTTATGTGGAGTTGCAATATATTAAACAGATGAAAACACAGCTACTCTGACTAAAGCAGGAACAAGCAGTGTCGTCCCACCTCTTCCGCCATCAGGCAGTCCCTGAGGCCCTTTTGAGGGACCCCCAAGGTCACGGTCTAAAGACTGATTCATTTATTTTTATAACTTTTGTTTATTGATACTCTTGTACTAAATCTTGCTTATTGCTACCCACTACCACATTTAATTCCTCTCCTTCAGTTGCTCCTCTGCTTCTCCAATAATTCCTCATCTTAGGCCCTTTCTTTTCTTCCAGACTTTCCTCAGTTTCTAATGTATCTTTTTACCCCTACCCACCATTCTACCTTTTGCACAGAGCTTTTCATCTTTTTTTTTTAGAGCTTTTCATCTTTATAGTTGCCCGCCTCATCAGTATATAAATCTCTTTCACCTTTTGATCTTCTCAGTGTTTTCTGCCTTACCCTCTCCATCCTCCACATTGTGATGCTATATTTCAAACATGCCAGCTAAAAAATAGTCTATATATATTTCATTTGGATCATTCTATTTCGTTTTCCTTCCTTCTGGACGGAGAACTGGTTACATTTGCTTTTCCATGTATTATTTCAGATAGAGACACCGGAACTATAAATGTGAAATCAGCTTCAAGGCGAAAGACTTCCTCAGGCAAAGAAATGCATCACAAAGTTTCTAACACTCTTCAAATGAATGCTTCCCAGAGTTTCACATTTAGAGGAACCTGTGAACAAGATAGAAAGTTTGAAAGAAGACAGGGAAACCGTACTCGAAAAAAACAACACAAGTGTAATGAATGTGGGAAAGTCTTTACTCAGAGCTCAGCCCTTAATCTACATCAGAGGATCCACAGTGGAGAGAAACCTTATACATGTGACGTGTGTGCAAAGGCTTTCAGCCGAAGTGCAATCCTGATTCAACATCGAAGAACCCACACTGGGGAGAAACCCTTCAAATGTCATGATTGTGGGAAAGCCTTTAGTCAGAGCTCGAATCTTTTCAGACATAGGAAAAAACATACTAGAGAGAAAGTCCCATCAGTGCTGTGAGGGAGTCAAACCATTTATTGAGAACTTTTTCAACAGGGGAGCAGACACAAGGCACCGATACTCCTTTAGCATAAATCGGTAGTTTCAGTGGGCACCAATTTCCTTTGAAAGGTTGTAAAAGCCACAGGAGAGAATGTAGAATATTTTCTGTCAGCATTGTTTGCTTTTCTGTACAGTGTCAGTTCAGACGATTGAGATTCTAAAGCTTAAATCGGATTTCCATCCCTAGTGCAACTCTTGAAAAGATACTCTCAGACATGTTCTACTGTTTCCATTATTAACACAAATAATGAACTAGTATGTTCCTTTTTAGACAAGTACGTTTTCCCTGTTGAGAAGGAGTGTGTGAGTTAGTATATAAGTGGGTATTCTCCATTTCATTATTTGCACATTGGAGTTACTAGACCAAAGATTAAATCAGTTTTTTAAAAAAATTTCCTGGAAATTCTCTGGCAGTCCAGTGGTTAGGACTCCACACTTTCACTGCTGCAGGCCTGGATTCAGTCCCTCATCAGGGAACTAATATCCTCCAAGTCACATGGCGTGGCCAAAAATAATAATAATAAAATATAATAAATTTCCTGTTTTATTTTCTGTTACCAGATTCAAAATATGAGAATAAGATTGAGGAGACCCAAAAGAATATGTACCTCAAGACCTAAGCTGAAATGTCCAGGGTCATTGTTAGGAAGCAGGTGAGTAAAGGGACTTTACTCGTCTCTTACAAAAACCTGAGAACCTACATACTGTTTTGTTTCAATTTTTAAAATTGAGGTTTAGTTGATGTATAATATCATCTATACGTACTGTTGATGATACTAAGTAATTTCCTGTGTAGGAAAAAAAAAATTATCTCCTTTACAATTTATATTGGAAATATCTCAGTGAAAGCATTAAGATTTGCTCTACGTGTCTTTAGGAAGTGGCCTAAATATGATGAGTGTTCTAATAATGAACAGTTATCTGTGGGTGCTTATATAAAGTTGATGATCACCTTAACATAAAGTAATAAGGAAGATGAAGAAAAGACTGTCCAAATGAGACTGATGTTACCTGGTAAGTGCAGCACATAATGGAGAACTGTACTTACCTGGAAATGGGAACCCTTAACAGCTGGTGACTATCCTTCAGAGTTCTTCATGGCCTCTGTTCTGGCATAAATCAGCTGTGAACATGTTTCAGGCATCCCAGGACAACCTTTTCAGGGTCTTATGCATTCTTAGTAAATGAGTTTCTAGACAATTTATCATGATGTTAAGACCTTGGATTTTGATACTCTTGTACAAATGAGAAAATCACTAAAGTTCAATTTAAAGAGTCCATTGAGTTTAACCCACATTTAATTCAATCAGATTCTCTTGTTTAAAAAGTAAATGACTGGTATTTTTTTTAAGTATTCTGACAATATATAACATAATGTCCCCCTTTCCAGGGATTCTTAATAAAACTCTGTATGTATTACAAGAATACATGGATTGTCGTGTCTCCCATGGTGCCACCGTTACCCAATATGGAGGCAACCATGAGAAATGAAAGTCCTTAGAAGGAGAAGGGAGGATAGGCCTCATGGTGAACTTTGTACCTCATGAAGGGTAAACATTTCATTATCAGAAAATCCAGTCATATCTAGTGCTTGGAGTAACTCCTGAGACAAATGTGGGATTACATGCTCTGCTTAGTTAGAATATTGATAAATATTAGATTAGTAAGGGGAGAGGAGAATACAAATTTTAATTTTAGAATTTTCTGATAGTGATTATACTTTGTAGCTCTAGTAAATATGAATGAGTATTGAGTTTTGTACATTTTCATTTATTAAAAATGTAGGAGTCTTTTTATTTGGGTCTCATTCTTTTTGTAATTAAAGAGAGGAACAAGCCATCTATTAAAGCAGCAAATGCCTCAAAAGATACATGTATTGTGAATTACTGCTTAATCATGGAAAGTTTTTTGGGTGCTATGTGAATAAAATGACAGAATCTAAATCAAGTATTCTGAGGGAAGCGTCTTTGTTCACTTGCTTCTGCCATAAACTTTGCAAGATTACATTGTCTTCAGTGTGAATAATCTGAACTTCTCCACCAGACAGTGATGTGAATCATATCATCTTAGAATAACGAATCTTTAAAGGGTGTCGCTGAGTACTCTAAAAGTTATCTTGCACTTACACAGGTCTCCTAATAAGTAGAAGGTGCTAGTTTATCTAACTGGAGAATTAATATGACTTGGTATAACCTTGATAAAATTAGCATATTAGCACCCCATCAAACTGATTAATTTCCACAGATAGTAAATACTCCAAAATGAAATTGGTGTTTTTTAAATGAATTTCACTTCATCTGAGCCTTTATTATTATCTCTAATCCTATGTTCCCTCTTTCTCTCCCATTCTCTTCAGAGACCAGGTCAGATGTTTGTCACTGTCCTTGAAACTTCCTGTATCAGGAATGCTTCTGGATACAAAATCCACCTTTGGTGGCTTAAACAAATTAGACTTTGCAACCAGAAATCTGGAGGCGAGTTGCTGCTGGCTGTCAATCGGCAGCTGAACAATGACTTGTCTGGCTGCTGTCTCTGCACTTCTTTGGGCCTTTCCTTCATACTTATTTTCTCAGATATGCAAGAGAGCTGTCTCAGCTCTGGGAATGGCATTTGGGGTCAAGTCAGAGAGGAAGAGGGACTCCAGCCATGGCCATGTCCTCTACTAGGGAAAGGGAAAGCTTTCCAAGAAACCCTAGCAAAATTCTGCTTATGTTTCCTTGTTGCAGGTGTGTCTAGTAAAGCCAGTGTTTTCAACTCCTAGAGGGAAAGCAGCAGGGCAGATGAGGATTGGGAACCACACTGAGTCAGCCAACAGTGTTTGCCATACTCCTTCTTGGCCACTTTCCTTTTCATGAGCAGATGGCTATGATTTTGCCTCCTTCATTATCAATTAAAAAAAAAAAAAGATGAGAACTCCACCAAGTTTGTCAACTTATCTACATCTCACCCATCATTTCCTCTCCCCTTCCTTTCAGAATGAAAGAGGGGTCTCTTCTCTGGTCCCTCAGCATTCCTTCCCACCTCTGAAGGATGTTGGCTGCCATCAGTTATTCTCTTTTTTATTCATCCTTTTGCTTTCCTTCAGGATCCATCTCTTCAACATTCAAATATGCTGATGTGACTTTTCTAGCATATTCTTAAAAATTCAAGATGGTGGCTAATCCCTGAGTCGGGGGGAGCAAAATGGCCCTTAGTTTTGCCTCCTTCATATGCATCCATCTCTTTCAAACACAGTGATCTCTCTAAAACATAAATTTGATCATGTACCCTCCTTGCTTAAAACACAAGCCACCCATTGCTTTTTTTCCCCCCTTTGGCCAAGCCGCAAGTCTTGCAGTATCTTAGTTCCCCCACCGGGATTGAACGTGGGCCCTCAGCAGTGAAAGCATGGAGTCCTAACCACTGGACTGCCAGGGATTTCCCCCCATTGCTTTTAATATAAAATCAGAACTCCTAAACAAGGTTTTTGAGGCTTTTCATGATGTGACCACAGTTTACCATTTCAGCTTTCTCTTTTGTTACTGCCTCCTTAATACTCTATGCCAAGGACATTCTGAATTAGAAGTCCTCCTGCCTCTGGGCCTTTGTATGTGTTCCTTTTAAACTCTTATCCAGCTTCTGCACTTTATCTTAACTCCTGTGTATTCTTCAGGTTTTAGCTTAAATGCCACTTCTTCCAGGAAGCCTACTGTAACATCCTAAGAATAGGTTGGGACCACCTCCACACCTTTCTGTTGATTCCATAGTAATCTGTTCTCACCCTGGCATTACATTTATCACATGAAATACGGTATTTTTAAAATATCAAACTACAGTCGGCCATAAAAAAGAACAAAATAATGTCATTTGCAGCAACATGGATGGACCTGGAGATTGTCATAGTGAAGTAAGTCAGACAGAGAAAGGCAAATATCATATGCTGCTTATATGTGGAATCTAAAAAAAAAAAAAAATGGTACAGTTGAATTTATTTACAGAAGTAGAGTCACAGATGTAGAACTTATGGTTACCAGGGGGGAAGTGTCAGGGGAGGGATAAATTGGGAGATTGGGACTGACATATACACACTACTATATATAAAATAGATAACTAATAAGGACTTACTGTATAGCACAGGGAACTCTACTCAGGACTCTGTAATGACCTATACGGGAAAAGAATCTAAAAAAGAGTAGATATATGTATATGTATAACTGATTCACTTTGCTGTACAGCTGAAACTAACACAGCATTGTAAATCAACTATACTCCGATAATTTTTTTTTTTTTTTTTTTGCGGTACACGGGCCTCTCACTGTTGTGGCCTCTCCCGTTGCGGAGCACAGGCTCCGGACGTGCAGGCTCAGTGGCCATAGGCTCACGGGCCTAGCCGCTCTGCAGCATGTGGGATCTTCCTGGACCAGGGCACGAACCCGTGTCCCCTGCATCGGCAGGCAGACTCTCAACCACTGCGCCACCAGGGAAAACCGCTCCAATAATTTTTAAAAGATAAAATATCAAACTGCAAATATGGCCCAAGGAAGAGGAGGAATGATACTTTGAGAAGAAAGAAGTCACGGAATAGTAAAAGAAAAAAAAAGCCCTCCTGATCCTGGGAATGGTGAGACAAAGAGAAGGTCAGACACAGGTGACGTTTCACCTCTGCAGAAATGCTGGAGGGGGTTGGGAGAGAACTTGAAAGGGGAGAAAGCTGGGCTTACTTGTCATTGAGTGCATTGGGGTGCATTGGGAAACAATTGCTCAACAGACTTCCTGTGCTCCAACACTGGACTGTTGTAAAAATGGCAATACAGAGTTAGTGAAGAGTCTACCAGCTACCATGTGATTTCGAAAATATGTAGCCGTTCCCCCTACCTGATGGGGACCTTGGAAAGGAGCTGGTTGAACCACCTGGAGAATTGGGATCATTGGACAAAGTAACTTTGTGGAACTTGTGGCCAGAACTGTGAGTCTCAGCTACACCTTAGAGGGGTGGCTAGAGCCAAGGTGGAGGCAAATCATGAAGGAAGGGATACTGGCTTCCTGCCTCACCAGAACAGATCACTTAACTGCTGCAGGTTTGGTGAGCAAGCACCTCAGACTAGCTGCCCAGAATAGAAACCAGAGAGGCTCAGGAGGATGGCAAGGCCATCTGAGACCCAATCCACAGCACCACCTCACCACAGGGAATAGAAACTCTCTTCCCAGACATCTAGATGGCAGAGAAGGGCAGAGGGAGAAATAGCCGTGATAGGGAGTTGAACTTAAAATGGACTGAATAATTTAATTCAACTCTTTCATCACTACCACTCCCCACTCAATGGGGTGGGAATTCAAGAAGCAAAAACATCAGTTATAAAAAATAAGCTCCACTTTTCTTTTCAATGTGGTAGCTTTTTATCCACTAAATTGATACTATATCTACTCCTGTATTGACCTCACTATGCTATGTTTCTCCAGAGCATGAGCTGCCTCATTCACATGTTTCTCAAGCATCAGGCACAGTACATGCCCATAACAGGCACTCAAATATTTGTGAAATGAAAATATTTGCAAATCTTAAATGTGATGATATCCAGAATATGTAAAGAACGCCTATAATTCAACAGGAAAAAAAACAAAACTCAACCCATTTCAAAAATGGGCAAAAGACATGAATAGACATTTCTCCAAAGAAAATATATAAATGGCCAGTAAGTACAGGAAAAGATGTTCAGTATCACTAATCATTTGGGAAATGCAAATCAACACCTCAGTGATATACCACCTCACACCCATCATGCTGGCTGATTAAAAATACAAAAAATAACAAGTGTTGGCAAGGATGTGGAGAAACTGGAACCCTTGTGCACTGCTGATGGGAATGTAAAATGGTACAGCCACTGTGGAAAACAGTTTGGTGGTTCCTCAAAAAGCTAAACATAGAATTACCACATGGTATGGCAATTCCACTCCTGGTATATACCCCAAAGAATTGAAAGCATGGACTCAAACCAATACTTGTACACTCATGTTCATAGCAGCATTATTTACAACAGCCAAAAAGTGGAAACAACCCACGTGTTCATCAATGAATCAATGGGTAAGCAAAAATACGGTATACACATACAATTGGAATATCATTTAACGTTAAAAAGCAATGAAATTCTGATACGGGTATCCCCCGCTTTTCAAAAGTTCACTTTACACCACTTCGCTTTTACGAAAGACCTACATTAGTACAGGTTTTTCCCACTATCTGAAAGTAGAGTGTTCCTATGAAACTTTTCATAAGCCGAAATGGTGTAAAGCAAAGAAGCAGTTACCGTAGACACAGCTCTAAGCTATGGCGGTTTCATGCTGAGATGCTGAGAGTCGTTCTCCAGGAAGGAGCTTGGCAGTGCCACTCTAGCTGCTTGGGCTGCTTGCTGCCTCTGTAACAGCTTGCCACCAAAACAAAGGCTGAATGCTATCATTGCTTTTTGCCTTTTTCCTTAAAAGTGAAAATCCTCCTCAGATTTATTTCAGTTAGTGAAAACAGGTACGGTATCCTCTGCTTTTTGAAAGTTTGCTTTCCATCACTTCACTTTTATGAAAGACCTACATTAGTACCTATTTAACGGTCTGTAATAGAGGCAGTATGCTCCCCAAACGGCAAGACTGGCACAGCCAAGCTCCTTCCCTGGAACTACACCAAGCATCTCAGCATCAAGCTGCCATAGCTTTGAACTGTGTCTGTGAGCATATGTGCTTTATCTTGATTTATTTCACGTATCCGTCAGCAAGATGTAAAGTAATCGATTCTTTGCTTTACACCATTTCGGCTTCCGAAAGGTTTCATAGAAACTCCCTGCTATGGGATAGCAGAGGAAACTTGTACATGCTACAACATGAATGAACCTTGAAAACATGCTAAGTGAAATAAGCCAGACAAAAAAGGATGAATATTGTATGATTCTACTTACATGAGGTATCTAGAATAGGCAGATTCATAGAGACAAAGTAGAATAGTGGTTACCAGGGCTGGGGGGAGAGAGGAATGAGGAGTTGTTTAATGGGTACAGAGATTCTGTTTAGGGTGATAAAAAAGTTCTGGAAATGGATAATTGTGATGGCTGTACAACATTATAAATGTACTTAATGCCACTGAATTGTACACTTAAAAATGGTTAAAATGGTAAACTTTATGTATATTTTACCACAAGAGCATTGGAGGAAACAAAAAGGAAATCACTTTTCTATAATCCTGTCCTAATAACATTTATATTCTAGTAAAAAAAAAAAAGGAATAATAATAATAAGAAACTCTATGGAATGCTGAAAAGCAGAAGATCTGGAAGATAAAATCCAGACGAGTGTTTGGTGAAGGGACTAACAAATAATTTTCTCTTTGCCACT